GGAACAGTTGACACTTTTTGTTGAGGAGGTGAAGGTATAACGGAAGTGGGAATGGACCGTGGAATGAGAAAGGAAGGATGTTTAAAACGGGAGTTGGGAGTAGAGAGTGGTGGAACCGAAGATAGTTGAGGAAACGGGAAAGAGGTTTCATCAAAAACAACATGACGGGAAGTGTAAATTTTCTTGGAAGCGGGATCAAAACAGTGGTGACCTTTATAAGACTCAGGATAACCGAGGAAGATACATGGAGTGGACCGAGGTTGGAGCTTGTGAGAAGCTAAATGAGAGAGATTAGGAAAGCAAGAACATCCAAAGACCCGTAAGACACCATAATTAGGTAGAGTACCAAAAGAAGAGAGAAGGGAACATAATTGTTCTTGGATTTGGTAGGTAAACGGCTTATCAGATAAACACTAGTATGTAAGGCCTCTACCCAGAATTCAGGTGGCAAGTGAGCGTGATTGAGGAGGGTGCGGACCATATTGAGGACAGTCTTATTCATGCGCTCAGCTTTGCCGTTTTGTTGAGGAGTGTATGGACAAGAAATGCGCATGGCAATTCCCTTAGATTTGAGAAAAGATTGAAGAAAATGAGAGTGAACATATTCAGCAGCACCGTCAGATTGAAGAGTTTTTATAGAAGTATTGAATTGAGTTTGGACAAGAGTATAGAAGTTAATAAATTTGTGAGGTACCTCAGATTTGTATTTTAGTGGATACACCCATAAATAATGAGTAAAATCATCAAGAAAAAGGAGAAAAATACTTGAAACTACTAAATGAAAGACAGGGAGAAGTCCAAACATCGGTATGGATTAAATCAAAAGCTTTGAAAGTAATTGAAGTAGAAGGCATAAAAGGAAGCTTATGATGCTTCCTAATTTGACAAGCCTGACAAAGACTAAACTTATTTGAGGAAACCATCGAACCAGGAAGGCGGCGATGTGACACTAATTGGGGTGACCAAGGCGTTGATGCCAGACATGAGAAGAGACGGAAGCAGCGAACACCGGACATGATGAAGAAGACGGTGCGCGAGATTGATCCAAAAGGGTGGATGGGAAAGTGTAAAGGGAACCAACACTATTGCAACGTAGACGAGGGTTCCTCGTCCAAAGATCCTTCACAAAAAAACCAAAGGGATCAAACTCAATAGAACATTGATTTTCAGTTACAAATTGACGCACAGAAACAAGATTTTTGGTAAGTGAAGGTACATAATAAACCCTAGGAAAGCGAAATTGAGAACAAGGAAGTGTACCAACAGATTTAATAGGTAAATTTGAACCATTACCAATCACAACTCGAGTAAAACCAAGATAGGGTTTGGAATTAGTAAGAGTACCTTGATTGGGAGTCATAGTATTACCACAAGCCGTGTCCATATACCAAGAAGAATCAACAGATGGAGGGATAGAAAGCCGATTATGTTGATCAACAAAATAAGCGGGCTGTTGGAATTGATAGTAATCCCGGGCAGAATGATTAAACTGGTGGCACAATTGACATCGAACAGGACCCGAATTGGACGATGAAGAAGGAGGCGGTCCAAGAAGAGAGGGAGCACGCTGTCTGGGAGTAAACATGGGAGCCGGATAAGAAGAATAAGAGTGAAAAAACGGAGAAGAGGACTGACCAAAATATTGATTACGACCACGCCCGCGGCCTCAACCTCTTGAATTCTGGAAGCCGCGACCCCTTCCACGGCCATGACTGGATGAAACAGGAGAAGGAGAAGCGGACGTCGGCTGCTGAGAAGAACCAGGTGAAGCAGCCGCCACCAAGGCTGTGGTGGTCGCAGGAGAAGAAGGAGGGGCCACGTTCTGAAGTTGCACCTCATGCAAGAACAGCATCGAACGAGCCTCAACGAAGGTAGGAAGAGGGACTTTGTGACTGATGGTGGTGGAGACGGATTGATAATCAGCAGGAAGACCGGCGAGAATTTGCAGAACCAAATCAGAGTCGGAGATGGAATAACCGACAACGATCAAAGAGTCAGTCAACATCTTCAATTGAGTGACATAATCATTGATTGTGGAATCACCCTTCTTCAAGCTGTGGAATTGCAGCTTCAGATGGAGAAGCCGAGAGCCAAGTTGGTCATAAAACAGCTTCTCGATCGTAAGCCAGGCATCTCGGGCTGTGAGGGTGGAATTGGGCTTAACGATAGCCTGCAAGATCTCAGTAGAAACAGTGGCTTGAATCCACGAGAGCACAATAGAGTCAAGATTGAAAAGCCGGATTGGGAGTGGAAGAACCATCAGAGGCAGCGAGAGTCGCCGGTGGACAAGGATTTGAACCGTCAATGTGACCCATGACGGCATGGCTGCGGAAAACAGGAAGAAAGAGTTCCTTCCAAAGTATGTAGTTGGTGAAGTCAAGAATAGGGGTGATCTAGTTCTTAATATTTGAAAGGCCAATGGCCGGATGAGGAGAAGAAGAGGGTGGGAGGGTTGCAGTGTTGGGAGTGGTTTGAAGGTGAGCTGGAGTTCCTGTAACACCGGAGGCGGCCGAATTTGCCATAGCAGCAGGGACGTAAAAGGCAAACAAAGAAGACCAAAAATTTTTATTATATTTTTTTTTTGTGTGTGTGTGTGTTTTTTTTTTTTTTTTTTTTGGTTTCAACAAAGAAGGATAAGAAATATTCGGACGGTCTGATGAAGAATCCGGTCAGCAGCGGCGAAGCAGGCAGCAACGAAGCAGCAAGCAGGCAGCAGCGGCGAACAACAACAACAACGGAGAACAACAACAGCAACGGAACTCCAACAATCAGCACCAAGGGGTGACCGCAGCAACGGCAAGAGATGATAACTGCAGTGACAGCAACGACAGCGGCAACAGAACGGGACACAACAACAGCAACGGCAATACACAGGAAGTAAAGGGACGGCCGCAACGGTGAGCACGTAGCAGCGGCGAAGCGGCAAAAGAGTTGGTTCCCTCGGCAAAAGAGAACAGCGGCAAAAGAGAAGGAGGAACAGCGGCAGCCGATGAAGAAAACAGCGGCAACAGTTAATGATCACCCGCACGTACGTAGATTTACCTCATATATACTCGTAGTAGATCGGCAGCAATTCGACGCAATCTGATCTGTTGTGCATGCGTTAAATAATACTTTTTCTTGTTCCAAAATGTACTCCGTCGATTAAGTTCTTAGGAAAAATTTGACAACTCATTTTCAATATTTTTTTTTTAACCCGACAAAAGGAATAAGATTTTATGTCTTTATGTTTGCTATGTACATTCGAACTAGAGATAAGAGATCTTACTCCACTTCTAATTTTACCGTGTAGGTGCGGTGCAACTTGAGGGTCATTTCTGTAGCCTTGTTGCAATTCAACCGTGGCGTGATGCAGAAAGGAACTGTCCTGTTACCGTTGAATGGACAATTCTACAACAAAAAACTTTCAGACGAAGCATAAGAAATGTTTTAGAAATAAGATATCGAAATTTGTAAGTATGAAGTTAGGATGTAATTTTGTTGCGCATTAATTGTAATTTAATAGATCGACTTATTAGAGGCATTCCACTTTCTAAGACTAATCTAAGATAATGAATCCTATTGCATTCCCGTTCTTCTTTAAACTATTTGGATGAAAGAATTGTCCGGCTTGCTAGCTCAATAATTATTGAGGATCAATTTTGAAGTAAAAAGGGAAAAAAATTACTTAAAGATTTCCAGGGTTCTTGAGTGGAAGTTTTCCGTATTAATTCTGTATTAATTCTTTATAAATAAAAGTAAACAAGTAGAACACAAGTGATGATCAACAAGTAGTACTAGTAGTACCTCAATAGCTCTAGCTCAGCTTATAAATAAAAAAGATAGTATTACATTTACTTAGTGGTTCATTTCAAGGAAGCTAAGAAGATCATGGAAGGAAGGATGCCGAGGAAACAAAGAAAGAAGAAGGCTTTGAGCAGTATAAGGCCTAAGCTTTCTACCATTCTTTGCTAAATCAAAGGTAATAACTACAATTGTTTCATAATGTCCAGAGTTCTATTTTGTTGGGTATTTGTATGCTTAAAGTTTATATAATTGGCGATTTTCCATTAATTAAAGATTCAAAGCTGGGAGCACTCTTATATATATATGTGTGTGTGTGTGTGTGTGTGTGTGTGTACGGTCAAGTCATTATTATGATTTTCTATGTTCAATAAGTTGTAAATGGCAAAAATTTGATGTCAGTTATTTTGGTACTTATGGAAGTAAAAATCTAGGTAAATATTGTTTGTATTCTATTTGGAAATTTTCATGACACCTATCATGACACCTAAGTCTTCTGATCCTATGACACGTTCTAAAGCCAAGAAGTTGCAAGAAAGTATTAATGGTCTCCTACGTCAGACGGAAGTACCTATACCGAAAGAGATGACGCTAGGTTGATCAATTTCCTTACCATTCAAGTCTAGTGTTTTCTAGTCCTTTCAGGTATGGTTTGCAGGGAAATAATTCAACTTGCCCGAGGAAAAATGATGTTTGCCGAGAGAATCAACAAATGCACCTATTCGGCTAACCCGTTTGCCAGGAAAAGGTCATTACTCGGACAACTCTTCACCCAGGCCCAATTTTTTACATCCGATGATCGTTTTGGACATTTTATATACACATTATCGGAGGTAGAACCCAGCTTGTCCGGGAGATTTTGCCATTTTCTGAGAGTTTTCTCAAAACGGCCCATTTTGCCGAGTCAAGAACCCGGGAGAGCCGTTTCAGCTTACCGATTTGATGTTGTGGCCTGATTTTTGGTTTATTTTGATGTTGTAAGTTATTTTAAATGTTAGAACCTGAAAGAGGGATTCCTTAGGGACCAGGAAAGGTCCACTAAGTCAAGTAATTATTTTTCTAAAATTTTCTAATAGTATAGGAAAGCTAGTTGTATTATTTTAGACATAGTTGCAACTTTTGACTTTTCTAGTTGCTTGCATCACCACCTAACTTGTGGAGCCAGCAAAGTTTGATGTGATAAAGAGTCTTCTTCCTCAAAAAAATAAGGGGGACAGAAAAAAAAAAAAGAAAATTCCATAGCTTTTCAAAGCTTGAAACCGAGAGATCATCAATGGATTGTCCATGGTGAAATCTTGCAATTCCAAGGTTGGACTTTGGTGGTTTGCACTCCGAGAGTGTCAAGCAACGAGTATGGCAACTAGGGATGAGTTTGTCCTGGTTGTTGGAGCTCTCTAATCAAGTTTGTAACAATCTAAGAGGAGCCAAGGTCGTTGAATCCATTTCCTTTGCGATTGTTAGTGATTCCTTTACTTTGGTTGTTGTTATCAACTTGGTAGCATACTAAGCTCTCTTTCCATTCATATCTCATGTCATATTGCTCTTTTAGGTGTAGTTTTGGTGGCTGCATCTATTCGTGTATCGAATTCCTTTATCACTAAGTAATCTAGCCAAACCGTGAATTGTGTTCATGATTATATCTTGCGATTGATCCTTGCGTCTTCGATTCTGCCTGTGTGCTCCATGTGTTTGACTTCATATCTTCTGAAAATCCTATCTTGTAAGTCTAAAAGGGTTTAGTAGGCCAGGGGTGTCAATTTATTAAGCCAAACATTGCATGACTCCAGGTTGTATCACTTAGGGTCAGTCTATTTTTTCCAATTTTTGTTTTAGTACTTTTATTTGTCCAAAAATTCTGAAATCTGGTGGGTTTTAACTTCAGTGTATTGGAGATATTGTGTCCAAATTTCAGGTCAAAATAAATTCGTTTACTATATAAACAAATCCAATATATTTTCTGTGGCAGATTGGTCCAAATCCATTTAGCTACTGCCCATTTTGGTTACTGGGGCTGTAGGCGTCCAAATACGCTCAAAATTTGCCATAAATTTTCATTCCATAATATAAGTATTGTGTCAAATTTTCAGGACAATCCGACGTCGTTTGCCTGGGGTTCATTTTTTTGTTATAATCACTACTTTCGTCGGTTTTGCATGTATTCTGAAAATCAGTTTGGTTACTGGGGTTTTTGCCACCATTCAGTGCTTCATTGTCTATTAATAAACTCCTGAAAGAGTGTTTGTGGAATGGTAAAGTCCGGGGCAAGGGTTACCTTTCATATCTATATGTTTCGCTTCCGATTTTGGGGATTTCGGGTAGAAATCTACATCAATTTGGTATCAGAGCCAAATTGGTGATTATATTATCCTAATTTGGCCAAGATCCAGGTTCTTTTACCATTTCCATACCTTTGAGTCTAGGTCTAGGTTGGGTAGTTTGAGAGGGTAGAGTGTGGTACAATTTGGTTCATCGCATATCTTGTGTTATTTGCACTTTTCTTGGCTTTTCATCACTTGTGCATGGTTTTATTGTGATATACACATCCGGGATCATTCTCCCCTGCCTTCCCCTGTTCTTGGCTGAGAAAATTAGGTCTTGGACCAAAGAGATTTGCAGCACTTACAATTTTTTTCCACAAGTCTAGTCAATACCAAAGTGTACCCGAGTTTGTCAGTGTACCCGAGTTTGTCTTCTTGATCCGGGTAATTTTGTTTGTTGTGTTTGAGTTTCTTGCACCAATTTTCTCTATATACAACTGAATTTTATTCAAGGTATCTTTGTGATCAAATGGTGAATGGGCAAAATGTATGAAGCGTCTTAAAAACAGAAGAAAAGACGTGGACAAAAAAAAAATAAAGACCCACTATTTGATTTACATTGCTTGCGCTGAAATTTGTGTTGTTTGGTGCCTTTCTTAGCATATTTGTTGAGTCTTTACCTTTAATACAACAACCAAATTTTCTTAGAAATTTTACCGTTTTAAAGTGTGTGTTAATTGCTAGTGTTTTCTACTCGGACTTGTCTATATTCCATCCGAGTTTGTACTCTTTTTTGCATACCTTGTTTACTTCATTTGGTGACCTTGGTGATTGGATTGGATAACCTTGTGTGGAGTACCAATAGTTGGTTCGAGTTGTTGCCTAGCTGAAGTACTTGAGCTTACTCTTGGAAGCCATCAAATACATTGCACACTTGGGATTCAAGTTAGTGAGATTGTGAGCCTTTATCCCTTTACTATACTTCTAAACCTCCGAGTGACATTGGTGAGTGTTTGGGAGGGGTATTTGGGAGTGAGACCAGCCTCTTAAAATCTCCATTCTTGCTTTGTTTTGTGTTTGCGCTAACTTTTCAGGTCATTCAAAATGGCACCACCAAAGAAAGATGCCGCCACAAAAGGTACTCAACAACCAACTCCTCAACAAGAAGAAGAATCCGAGGAGACATCAACCCTATCAACCTTACCTTCTCAAATCCAACTTCTTGTCACTCAAGTTGGTAATATAGGAAAGAAAAGTAGGTGACATAAAGATTTCACAAGCTGAATTTGCTCAAAAGCAAGGCACCTTGGCCGAGAGACAAGAAAGAATGGGAGCTCAAATGACAGACCTTAAAGGTGAGCACGGTACTTTGGCTTCTAACTTTGCTACTTTTCAGGAACAGATGCAAAATGTTCAAGATGAAGTAAGAAGCACTGTAAGGCAGCCACATCCACCACCACCACCACCATTTAGACCCGTGAGGCCAAATAGCCCACCGGTTGAGTTGTCTACGGAGGATGAAAGATCCGAGCCTCCATCACCTCCAAGAAGAATTAGACCGAGGAGAAGGGATGATGAACCAGAGAAAGGGAAGCTAAAGCATGATCTCCCAGAGTTCTTTGGCACATCAGAACCGGATAAATACTTGGAGTGGGAGATGAACGTGGACAAGGTGTTCAATATGCATTACTATGCCGAGGACTATAAGGTAAACGCCGCCATTTCTCAATTTCATTTAAATGCTAACACTTGGTGGCTTGATGTTAACAGAAGAAGGCGTAGAGATGGTGATCCAGAGATTGTAACTTGGTTACAATTGAAGAGATTAATGAGGCAAAATTTTGTGCGCAAGTCATATCAGAAACAGTTGAGAAATGAACTACAAGATCTAAGGCAAGGTTCTCGTACTGTTTGGGACTTTTATTGGGAATTAGTTTCTTTGCGTACTAAATTGCAGTTAGATGAGTCTGATGAGTCTATGGAGGCATGATTCATTCGAGGATTGAATCGCAATTTGAGGGATTCAGTGGAGTTACATGCTTTGAAGATACAATCCCTTGAAGAATTGGTTGAATATGCTGACACTTTGGAGAAGCAAACCAAAACCCGTGAATCAAGGGCTGTCCCTACATCTTCTAGGCCCTATTCCAGATCTACATCAACCAAACCAAGCCCTCAATCAAGCCAAATGAGGCCTGCCCCTACTCGGACTCCATTTCAGCCGAGAAGACCTCCCATAACATCAACCGGATTTCCTCCAAAACCGGTTGCAAAAGCACCTCCACCCAAGGTAAATCCTCATTCTAAACCTTCTACTTCCACTAACCGTGTGTCTAATGTACCGTCTCAGGGAAATAAGACCCAATGCTTTAAGTGCAAAGGGTTTGGTCATTTTGCTAGAGAATGCCCTAACCAAAGGGTAATGCATATTGCTGATGATGGTGAAGTTTTTAGTGAAGAAGAAGACACGGTCCTCGAACCCGAGCCAGTAGAGAATGAAGAATTACCTACTAACATGGAGTTTGAGGTTGAAGAAGAAGATGAGGAGATAGATTACAGTTTGGTGGTTAGAAGGAGTTTGAGTACACAACCACTTCCTGAAGATTCAGAAGTATCTGAACAACGTTCTTCCATTTTTCAAATGAAGTGTAAGGTACAAGGTAAAACTTGTTTAGTCATTATTGATGGTGTTTCTTGTGCTAATGTCGTTAGTGAAGATTTAGTAAAGAAGTAAGCACTGAAGACGACTAGACATTCCCAACCATACAAGTTGCAGTGGATTGGAGATACTGGGTTTGTTCAAGTCAAATTGCAAGCAAAGGTTCCTATTGAAATAGGTCCCTTTAAGGATGAGGTACTTTGTGACATTGTTCCTATGAATGCTTGTCAAATTCTTTTAGGTAGACCGTGGGAATATGATCACAAGGCTACACACGATGGTGTTACCAACAAGTACACTATCCGTGTCAATGGTTCATCCTATGTTCTTCCTCCTTTAAGCCCAAAAGATATCCACGAAGCTCATGATCATTTTAAGGCACAAAAGGAGAAAGAAAGAAGAAAGGAAAGGGCTTTGAAAAAGCCAATATCCGAGACCTCTACATCCTCGGGTAAGCAAATTTTATTGGCAACTAAGGATGATATTGATGAAGTATGTGATACTACTCCTCTTTGCATTTTGTTAGTCCTTAAAAATTATTGTTTTACTAACACTAATGACTCGAAAGAGCCCACTTTGCCTAGTGTTATTGCAAAGGTTTTGCAGGACTATGAGGATGTGTTTCCTGAGGAGTTACCATCAGGTTTGCCACCACTTAGAGGCATTGAGCATCAGATAGATTTTATCCCTGGAGCCTCTATTCCCAACAGACCAGCCTACAAGGCCAATCCAGTGGAGACCAAGGAGTTACAAAGGCAGGTAGATGAATTGCTTTCTAAAGGATTAATTCGTGAGTCTTTATCTCCTTGTGCAGTGCCAGTGATTCTAGTCCCTAAAAAGGATGGAACTGGAGGATGTGTGTGGATTGCGGGCGCTTAACAAGATCACAATCAAGTACAGACATCCAATCCCCAGATTAGATGATATGCTTGAAGACCTTAGTGGATCAAGGATCTTCTCTAAGGTTGATTTAGCATCCGGATATCACCAAATTCGGATGAGGCCAGGGGATGAATGGAAGACAGCTTTTAAGACCAAATTCGGTTTGTATGAGTGGTTAGTGATGCCATTTGGGTTAACTAACGCACCTTCTACTTTTATGAGGCTTTTGAATCATGTTTTGCGCGAGTTTATTGGTAAATTCGTTGTGGTGTACTTTGATGATATATTGATTTATAGCCGTGACATAGAAGAGCATGCTTTTCACTTGTCTTGTGTTTTATCTGCTCTTCGTGCTAACCGTTTATTTGGCAAGATGTCTAAGTGTACTTTTTGTGAAAAAGAAGTGGTCTTTTTGGGATTCATTGTAGGTAAGGATGGCGTTAAGGTTGATGAAGAAAAAGTACAAGCCATCCGTGATTGGCCTACTCCTACCACGGTAACACAAGTTCGATCCTTCCACGGACTTGCAAGCTTCTACCGAAGGTTTGTACCCCATTTTTCCTCTATTGCAGCCCCTATCAATGAGCTGACAAAGAAAAATGTTAAGTTTCATTGGGGTGATAGACAGGAAAAAGCATTTAACACTTTGAAGTCAATTCTTACAAAAGCCCTGTTTTAGCATTACCTAACTTTGATGATGTGTTTGAAGTTCAATGTGATGCTAGTGGAGTAGGTATTGGAAGTGTTTTATTGCAGAATGGAAGGCCTATTGCATATTTCTCAGAGAAGTTCAATGGTGCTCAATTGAACTACCCCACTTATGACAAAGAGTTGTATGCAATTATTCGTACCTTGGAGCATTGGCAGCACTACCTTCTACCCAAAGAGTTTATCATTCACACAGATCACGAGTCAATCAAGTACTTGAGTGGCCAGCAAAAACTTGACAAAAGACATGCCAAATGGAGTACTTTCTTGGAGACTTTTCCTTATGTGATTCGGTACAAAAAGGGTAAGGAGAATATGGTAGCTGATGCTTTATCTCGCAGGAACTTGGTACTGGCTACTCTTGAAAGCAAATTCTTTGGTTATGACTTTCTTCAGAAGCTTTATAGTAATGATTCTGACTTTGCTTCCATTTATGAAAGTTGTGACAAAGGTGCTTTTCAAAAGTACTACAAGCATCGTGGTTTATTGTTTAAATCTAATCGCTTGTGTGTTCCTGCTTGTTCATTGCGTGATTCTCTCATTGCCGAGTCTCACATGGGTTCTTTGATGGGCCATTTTGGTGTTTTGAAGACCCTTGATTATTTGGGTGAGCATTTTTATTGGCCACGCATGAGAAAAGATGTGGAAAGATATTGTGCTTCTTGTATTCCTTGTAGACAGGCCAAGTCAAAGTCCAACAACTTTGGTTTGTATACTCCTTTGCCTGTACCTATTTGTCCTTGGGTTGACTTGTCTATGGATTTTGTCTTGGGACTCCCCACCTCACAGAGGGGACATGACAGTGTGTTTGTTGTGGTAGACAGGTTTTCAAAGATGGCACACTTCATACCGTGCAAAAAGACTAATGATGCAAGGTATATTGCAGATTTGTTTCCCAGGGAAGTTGTACGGCTTCATGGAGTGCCAAGGACCATTGTCAGTGACAGGGATACAAAGTTCCTGAGTGACTTTTGGAAGTCATTGTGGACGAAGCTTGGAACTAGGTTATTGTTCTCTACCACGGCTCATCCTCAAACGGATGGCCAAACGGAAGTTGTAAACCGTACCTTAGGTTCTCTCCTAAGGGCTTTGGTTCGTGGACACAAGAAGTCATGGGAAGAGTGTATTCCAATTGCAGAATTCTCTTATAATCGGACAGTGCAACGCACTACCGAGATCTCTCCCTTTGAATGTGTTTATGGGTTTAATCCACTAACCCCACTTGACCTTTCTATTGTTTCTTTGCCTAATGATGTTATTGTTGATACAGATGGAGCAAAGAGGGCCAAGTACATCAAAGATCTCCATGCAAAGGTTCGTGATATGATTGAGAAGAAGAACGAGTCATATGCTCGTTTAGCAAACAAAAGCCGCAAGGAGATGGTGTTCCAACCTGGAGATTATGTCTGGGTTAACTTCCGAAAGATTCGTTTCCCTAACAAGCTTAAATGCAAACTTGATTCTAGAGGAGATAGACCTTTTAAAGTGCTTGAGAGGCTGAACAATAATGCCTATGTTCTTGATATGCTAGGTGAGTATGGTGGTAGTGCAACATTTAATGTTTCTGACCTTACTCTCTTTGATTTCGCAGAAGGAGAAGCCACGAATTCTATGAATCCTTTTCAAGGGGGAGGGGATGATGTAGACCTTCCTGAGGAAGCTCCCATCATGACACCTAAGTCTTCTGGTCCTATGACACGTTCTAAAGCCAAGAAGTTGCAAGAAAGTATTAATGGTCTCCTACGTCAGACGGAAGTACCTATACCGAAAGAGTATGACGCTAGGTTGATCAATTTCCTTACCATTCAAGTCTAGTGTTTTCTGGTCCTTTCAGGTATGGTTTGCGGGGAAATAATTCAACTTGCCCGAGGAAAAATGATGTTTGCCGAGAGAATCAACAAATGCACCTATTCGGCTAACCCGTTTGCCAGGAAAAGGTCATTACTCGGGCAACTCTTCACCCCAGGCCCAATTTTTACATCCGATGATCATTTTGGACATTTTATATACACATTATCGGAGGTAGAACCCAGCTTGTCCGGGAGATTTTGCCATTTTCTGAGAGTTTTCTCAAAACGGCCCATTTTGCCGAGTCAAGAACCCGGGAGAGCCGTTTCAGCTTACCGATTTGATGTTGTGGCCTGATTTTTGGTTTATTTTGATGTTGTAAGTTATTTTAAATGTTAGAACCTGAAAGAGGGATTCCTTAGGGACCAGGAAAGGTCCACTAAGTCAAGTCATTATTCTTCTAAAATTTTCTAATAGTATAGGAAAGCTAGTTGTATCATTTTAGACATAGTTGCAACTTTTGACTTTTCTAGTTGCTTGCTTCACCACCTAACTTGTGGAGCCAGCCAAGTTTGATGTTATAAAGAGTCTTCTTCCTCAAAACAACAAGGGGGACAGAAAAAAAAAGAAAATTCCATAGCTTTTCAAAGCTTGAAACCGAGAGATCATCAATGGATTGTCCATGGTGAAATCTTGCAATTCCAAGGTTGGACTTTGGTGGTTTGCACTCCGGGAGTGTCAAGCAACGAGTATGGCAACTAGGGATGAGTTTGGCCTGGTTGTTGGAGCTCTCTAATCAAGTTTGTAACAATCTAAGAGGAGCCAAGGTCGTTGAATCCATTTCCTTTGCGATTGTTAGTGATTCCTTTACTTTGGTTGTTGTTATCAACTTGGTAGCATACTAAGCTCTCTTTCCATTCAGATCTCATGTCATATTTCTCTTTTAGGTGTAGTTTTGGTGGCTGCATCTATTTGTGTATCGAATTCCTTTATCACTAAGTAATCTAGCCAAACCGTGAATTGTGTTCATGGTTATATCTTGCGATTGATCCTTGCGTCTTCGATTCTGCCTGCGTGCTCCATGTGTTTGACTTCATATCTTCTGAAAATCCTATCTTGTAAGTCTAAAAGGCTTTAGTAGGCCAGGGGTGTCAATTTATTAAGCCAAACATTGCATGACTCCAGGTTGTATCACTTAGGGTCAGTCTGTTTTTTCTAATTTTTGTTTTAGTACTTTTAGTTGTCCAAAAATTCTGAACTCTGGTGGGTTTTAAATTCAGTGTATTGGAGATATTGTGTCCAAATTTCAGGTTAAAATAAATTCGTTTACTATATAAACGAATCCAATATATTTTCTGTGACAGATTGGTCCAAATCCATTTAGCTACTGCCCATTTTGGTTACTGGGGCTGTAGGCGTCCAAATGCGCTCAAAATTTGCCATAAATTTTCATTCCATAAAATAAGTATTGTGTCAAATTTTCAGGGCAATCCGACGTCATTTGCCTGGGGTTCATTTTTTGTTATAATCACTACTTTCGTCGGTTTTGCATGTATTCTGGAAATCAGTTTGGTTACTGGGGTTTTTGTCACCATTCAGTGCTTCATTGTCTATTAATAAACTCTTGAAAGATTTTTTGTGGAATGGTAAAGTCCGGGGCAAGGGTTACCTTTCATATCCATATGTTTCGCTTCCGATTTTGGGGATTTCGGGTAGAAATCTACATCAATATGGGACAAGGGAACGTGAGGCATATTCATTCAACACGCCTCTAAAGCCCAATGGGCTCGGACGGGTAATTTTTATACGTTTTTTTTTCCAGTCTTGTGATTGGTTATTTTCCCGGATAAACGATCGCCTGCCGGGCCAGTCAAAGTTCAAATTCAAACTCCGGATTTTTTTCATGGGTTGGTCAAAGTTTCAAGACCCAATTTGGGTCAGTCCACCTCACCCCACAAGTCCCACAGGCCCGTGGATAAAAACCCACTCTGATACCATCTTGAAGGCCCAAATGTAACCCACATGTAGTTCCACCTCAAAACCAATTGGTGATGAAGGGAGTAGAACATGGGGTATATGTGTTGGGTGCAAGTGTTTCCTTCC